TAGGAGAACATTATGAAAACTTCTTCGAGACTATGGAGCACCTGAGAAAATCGTCAACATCATCCGGAATTCATACGATGGACTACAGTGCAAAGTCGTGTACGGAGGACGGCTGACAGACGCATTCCAAGACAGGACCGGAGTCAGACAAGACTGCTTACTCTTACCCTTCATCTTTATTTTGGTGGTCCAGTGGATTATGAAAACCTTGATATCTGAGGAGGAGAGCGGAATACAATGGACAGCTCAGAACCAATTAGACGATTCGGACTTCATAAGTAGCCTAGCCCTTCTGTCCCATACAAACCAACAAATGCATATGAAGACAACATCTGTAGCATCAACCTCCGTATCAGTAAGCCTTGATATACACAAGCGAAAAAGCAAAACAGGGAGAATACCAACTCAGTCACACTTGATGGAGAAGCTCTGGGAGATGCGGAATCTTTCACATACTTGGTCAGTATCATCGATGAACGAGAAGGATATGATGCAGACATAAACATGAGGATTGGCAAAGCAAGGAAAGCATTGCTACAATTGAAGAACATATCGAACTCAAAACTACTTTCAACCAATATCAAAGTCAGAATCTTCAACACGAACGTCAAGACAGTACTGCTGTACGGAGCTGAAACGTGAAGAATTACTACAACCATCATAAAAAAGATACAAGCACTTATAAACTGTTGTCTACACAAGATACTCAATATCCGTTGACCGGATACCATCAGCAACAGTCTACTGTAGGGGAGGACAAACCAGCTTCCATCCGAGGAGAAAAATAGGAAAAGACGCTGGAAGTGGATAGGACATACATTGTGGAAATCATCAAACTGCATCATGAGGCAATCCCTAACTTAGAATCCTGACAGGATAAGTAAAAGGGGAAGACCAAGGAAGACACTACTTTGAGAATTGGAAGCAGATATGAAAAGGATGAATAGCAACTGGAAATGACTAGAAAGGTTTGACCAGGATAGATTTGGATGGAGAATGCTGGTGGTCAGTATATGCCCGTCCACGAGGGGTAACCGGAGTAAGTAAGTTAGACAATTTCCATTAGTTTACTATTATTTTTACCATTACAGTAACTGGTAAAGATTGTCAAAAAAAACATTAAACATGAGAAGAAAATTTATTAAGAATTTTATGATGTTTTCACTACTCAGTTGGCCAACAAGTTAAAATCGTACAGAAAAAGAGATTATCTCACTCTTATGAATTAACATTATTCGAATGAAACCATTTAAATTCAGTTCACTAAATTATCATTTAAAATATAGATAGTTTAAAAGTGAAAGTGAGGAAAAGTTTATAAAGCCAACGTAACAGCTAGAACTTATTTTCAAGCATCAAATGAAAATCACACATAAAGACAATAGAAATCGACTCTATTACAAGTTACTCATCATTCAAAGAAAGTAGATGGATAGAAACTTACTAAAAGTAGTCCATATTCACCTCTTTTGTATTATTCTAGCTTTAATCACTCTCACAAGATGTTCCAAAATTTGTTTCCTAAGAACAATTATCTAACCTTTTTTTACCTTAGTTATAATGTCTCATCTTAAAAATCACCTTGTTTACCTTATTATTTCATGGAGATCACATTCATTAGCAAGAAATTCAAAAACAAATTTAAGTAACATATCTAATTATAGAACGTCCTCAGTTGTGTTTGGCAAACCTATTTAGTTTTATAATCATAATATAGTAAATCACTTGGTCTCTTATTATAATCAGTATGAAATAATAATATACTGAAAGGGAATTTTCAATCAGAATTCCAAATCCATAAGTTAAATTATCCGGTTGTTATAAAATTAAACTCTTCACAAAAATAGCAGTTAAACATCAGGCTAATCATAGAGGTGGTCAGTTCTAGGCATCTAACCTCTAACCGTTACTCGATTGAGAAAATTAAGTCTTTCAAGATCATTAGTAAACCAATAAGTCAGAATTTTCTAAAGGTTAGTCCGATCTCTGTATCTGAAACCCGATTTATTTTTACAAAACGAATTAGTATTCATTCTTTCTGTAGCTTGGGTGGTGGAATGACATATTGTATAACTTTTTCCCTCATTTGGTTATTTTGTTGCAACATTCTTTTCTATCCATTTATTGTCTACAATTTCATTGTCAACTATTTAAGCCTGTCATTTTATTCGACTACATAACCACCTATTTATATCCCTATACTTATTTGTTCATAACAATGTTGTAGGATATTCTTTTGCCTTTAATATATATTACCTACACTGTGCAGGTGATTCTCTATACAAAGTTCCAACTAAATTCATTTTTTAAGATCATGAACTGACCAATGTTAGACCACCATTGGAAACATGGGAGCACTGAAAGGCCGTTTCATCCTAGGACGTGAATCCTCAGCAGTACGCATCCACGATTCCGTGCGGGACACATCCAGGACCCTCGGTCCAAATTTTCAATGTTGGTCCAATATTTGTCGGTTCATGATCTCAATTAAAACTCAACAATCTCCACAACACTATACTGAAAAATTCATTTATACAATTTTTCAAAACCCAACATAATATTTTTCAGGATTATTGTTTTCATCAGAAATTTGAAATCCTACTAATATTCCAGAATCTTAATCAATGTTCCCAGTTGTATAAAAAGAAATTGAAATAGTTCTAATCTAGAAAATTGTTTGTCTGATACCTGAAATGTCTAAGATAATATGATGAAACCACTTCTAATTCTCGTGAAATATCTGGTGACACATTTCGAATACAAGCATGTGATATATTTTCAGGATTCAGTTAATGTAAAGCCTCTAAAGTATCTTTGTTAGATTATTTTTATTTTGATTCTGTTCTTAGAAGTATTATGTTAAAAATCATTTAGTACAGAAAATATTCAATCAAAACTAAGTGTATAGGTGTGCTTTTATTTTGTCTGGAAGTAATAGTATACCATATAATGCGTACATCTTCATTTACTTTATTCGATATACATAATAAACTGTTAGTTATTTTTTACTTCTGTTAAACTTACACTTTCTTCAATAGCTTGAATGTGTATGTAAACTTGAATATTTCGACTTGAGATCATTTTTCAATAAATTGTTTTTCATCTAATACCTCATTGTCTTTAGATAAGTAACCGTAAATTCCAAATTATAAATTTTACATTTAGGCATAACGAATAGTCAGAAAACTTATTGTTCTACACAAAGCACAACATTTGTTATCTTTCATACTCCAAGTTTTATTCCATTTCTCCTGGTTTCTTTTTGTTGTAGTAATGTCAAGGTGAAGTCTATTTTTAAAGTGTTCTGTTAAGATATTAAGTATTTCCCACATTTCATCAGGCTATTTATCAACAATAATTTGTTTTTGACCGTTATTTGTAAAATTACTGAGAAAAGACTATAGGGTGTCTCAAGAGAACTTGAATGCTATAAACAGTATCAGTCTTGCATTTTCAATTTGACTATGAATAAATTAGTAAAAGGATATTTAATCAGTTACACATTATATTTTATCAGACACAAGTTATTCATTTTAATTAAGAACAACTTAAAGCATAACATTCATGAAAATGACTCGTCAAATAATTCTCTAAAGTTCAAGTGTACTTTAAACAATCTCCGGTTAGAAATTGAAAGGGTTAAAATGTCTTATATGTAACTGACAATCTAAGATTACGAAATCATAGTCACTATTGTAAAGATATGCTGTTTTACTTTTAATAACAAACTTTATTTCACTAGCCCATATATGGTGATCTTGTTAGGTTTTTTAAAATCTCATAACTTATTAAAATGTGATATGGACTTGGTTGATTAACACATATTGTCCTAATTATTAATGATATTGGTAAACAAAATATGTAACAATCGTGAAATATTTACTTCACATCAACCACATCATGAAATTATTGAAGTTTATAAATAGACTATCAGTTGATTACAAAGTTACTGATAACTGCTTGATTTAACATGAATATAGATTGATTGGCAGGAATTAGATTTTAAAATATTCTACTGATTAATATGTACATAATGTCTACTGATATATCAAATTTACTTACTCATTTCTTAGGAAAAGTTGGATGATATGCGTATTCGAGAGCTGACTGTGTTCAGCTTTGTAGTTGTTTTATAATAAGAACTGAATAACTGACTTAATAATTATAACGTTCAGACTGCTTTCCTGAATAAACCACATAAATGTGACTGTGATTAGAAGTGATTCATTGTTTACATTGTTAGTTAGTCTGTGTTCAATACTTAATGAAGTTTACCAATTATAAATACAGTTAAAGTATGTTAAATTTAATGTTGAAATCAGATGAATTAAGTGGGTGGACTTATGTTTTTATTTTAACTAATCTTTATGAATTTCTATTTATAGCCGTTTAATACTTGGAGCATATGTGTTACAAAGCGAATTTCTTTACATATTGTCAAATTTGTTTAGGTAGTCATAATAATGAATCTAATGAAGTTTGTTTACTGACAGCTCTTGATTAATTTTCGGAAAAGTTTTTAGAAACAGGAGAAATGATTAAAATACTTCGTTTTATGAGATTTCTCTAAAAACTCCTTAGTGAGTTATGGTTAGATAATGAACGGTATTCTTATTGATTTTGTCATGTTTCTAGGCCCTTCTGCAATCTCATAGTCTTAAAAATACCCTTGTTTTTTGTACATGAACTAACCGTAATAGTAAGGCTTCTTTACTACATTTCACCTTATGGTTTCTTGTTAGTCGGTTGGGAGTAGAATATTTCTAGTATTTATAATTCGACAAGGAAACTTATGTATAAGTATTTAAGTATTCAAGTCGTCACTGAATATTTTATGAGGGTAATATTCATCAAGAACTGGTAAAAGATGCTGTTTGTGAAGTTGATTAATTAGCGATAAAAAGTAACGTATCGATATCATTTTAAGTAAGGATCGTTGTTCATCGTAAATTGACTGAGGTTGAAAGTTTTTACCATTAGATTCTTAAACAGAAAACTGTATGTTGAAAATGCCATTACTGAATAAAGCTCATAATAATAATGATTATGCATTTTATGCGAGCTTAATAGTACATACATACTGTAGCGTGTTGAGGTGTGATGAATTATTTCAGTTTTTTTTTATGGTTCCTAGTACAATCTTAACCCTAGCCAAAATGTATGGAACGTCAAATCTTCTGATTAGAATGAATTTACTATTTAAAATTCATATACTTTCTTCAATTATTTTAATTTGTGATACATTACGTATGCAGTTTCATGATATGTACTGGAAATCATCAACGATTCGTACAGATACGGATTTATACCTAATAAATGTATTTGGTTTTACTAACCATACTCTGATTTCTGAAGAACTTCGTTTGTATACATGGGATTTTCGTTATTCTAACAAGGAATTTGATATATTTTAAATAAATTTTTTTGTACTTCGATCATAAAAATATTTAGAAATTTTTGTTTATAAATCAACAACCCCACACTTATTTACATTAACAACATCAAACACCTAGTGCATATGCGATTCGGTTACATTTTTGAGACAAAAACAAGGTCTTCTAGAGAAGTAATGAACATATTTTAATAATCTTGCATTTACGCGGAATGTTACACCTTTTTCTAATTCATCAGTCTCATTAATAAACAATAAAGCTCGTATACTTTGAGATTTTATCATACTTCGTTACCAGTTTTAATTGAATTTGTCACAGTAAACAAATAAGTGTTCACACTAGTATTTTACCAATTATTTTCCAATATATGCGTTTTAAAATTTCATTCACAACTTTGATAATAATGTAGAACGCATTGTAAATAGTTGACAAAATCATAACGAAACAAAATGAATCAATGTTTTGCCTTAAACTGAGTTGTCATACATGAATCCAATTTATTATAGAAACCTTGTTGTATGATTAAAGATGAATTTTATTTATTACGCTTCAGTAAAATAAAAATTAGTACACATTTGTTTTAGTCCATTCGAAAATAAAACAACAAAATGTTATGACTAGTCGTCGCTAATTGTTATGTTGGAATCGCTTATCACGTAGACTCGTAAAGCAAAGAACCACTGAAATTCCCATGACGCGAAAGTAAGAACACAAAGACTGGTAAAAACGAAAATTTATTAACCTCATAACAAGGCGACGACGACCCTAGTCGAAAATACACTCGATATATATATATATATATATATATATATATATATATATATATATATATATATATATATATATATATATATATATATATTGATTTGTACACCCATTTTAATTATTGATTAGTACGAATCACATATATGAAAAATACTTAGAGTTATCCCATGCTACATGTCATGCTAAGTATAGTTCATGCCCATTGAATACAATAATATCATATATTATACCAAATAAAATATCATACAGGAAAACAAAACCGAAGGCTACACTAAGTAATTATCACAATGAATTAAAACGGAAGTAAAACTGAACAAAAATCATAATGAGTAAATCAATCTAATTCTAACTTTTCTTCCCGTCATATCACAAAGTTATTCAGAATAAGAAAAGTTCAATGATTTTAAGAGTAATGAATCATCTGTGAGTACACTAAAGCCTATCATAAAGTTGTCTATTGAATTTAATTATGATTGATCGACTTCACATTTCTTGTAATAAATATGTTTCTGTTATATCTCAATGGGTAGAAAGTTGTATCATTATTATTATTATTAACTTTCTACCCAATGCTCAATTTATTTGAATATATCATGTCCGATCTCAGCATTGATATTAACAATTATCTGTCATTTAAAACTCAAAAATCACTTTCCGCAACTTATATAACAAAACTAAATTTGAATAATCTCAGCGAATAAAATTTAAATGATCCCAGTATTTTGTCTGGCAAATTAGGTCGATTATCAAATGTGTACTAATGCTCAATTACATTTTACCTAAATGTTGATAGAAAAGAATTTGTAATTTTAAATTATTAGTTTAGAAGAAACACGAACAGTTCAAAATATTGAAGCGATAATATAATATTGCGATAAACTATTTATCTTGAGCAATGAAATTTTGATCATAGTTTGAATACGGTTCAATGTGCTTTGAGTGGATCTGTCAGTGAAACTATGCCATTTGCTCTTTATAAATCTCACAAATCTTTTAACACTTCTAGTGATATCCCTCTTTTGTTTTTGCTGATTCTATTCAATTATTACTTAACCAAACCGATAAACTGTTCATGAGTATTTTCAAACCGATCGTTATATACTGAAAGACCTTTTCATGTAAAAAAGCTGTTTCGTGGTTAACTATAAAACACAAAGGATTTTCATTGAATAGAACGTAATTAGACCAAGTGACATTTATTTTTAATTAATGATTGTATAAACCTGTCGTAAAGCAGCGACTGAATTATAAAGAAATAATAAACTGAATTTCGTAATAGATATTTGCACACTCAAGATTCGATCGATTGAGGCTTTTTGTAACTAATATAAAAACCAGATTATTACTTTAGCTAGATCGATTCAGAGTTCGGTCTAATTAGTTGAACATCAGAATAATTATATTAACAAAACAATTTAATTATACATTCTTTTGTGTATGTACCCTAAAATTTGAAAAGTGGTGTTGTTATTTATTCCAAAACAATGATTTAGTTATTTCCTAAGTGTGTATAAAAATACTAAACATGTTAAATAAGTAGACTTTTCATTATAAATCAGTTTATTGAGTTTGGTTTGAGAAACATAGAAATGTGTAGACGTAAATCTACCTGTAAATTATAATTGTATCGCAATGTCTTTAAATGTAAACATATATCCTTCGATCTTATCAAGAGGGGCAGCCATTCAATATTCAATGGTTTATTTGCAACAGTGATTAGCTGTATTTATTTACTGCACCGTCATCGGTTTTAATTATGATCTTTACACTGATCTTTTTTCAGCCGACCAATCTAAATCAATCAGCTGCGTTAACAGTGATCGCATCTCATCCCACTAATTGTCCTGTTAAGGCATCCAAATTAAATGGAATTTCTATGACAACAAAGTGTTATATATATATATATATTACCAAACAAGTTTGTAATAATAGATATCATGAGACTAGCTAGGTTGTTATAAAACACAGTACAAAAGTTTTCAAGAGTATTAAGACAATTTAAGAATTACCACTACTCAGCTAAAATTTTAGACTTATGAAATTCCTTCATTTTATCTACATTTTATGTGTAACAAGAAGACAGTCATGTGTGGTGTACATTCAATTTTAGGTTCGTTTGCTAAATATAGGTTTGTGCATTTAGCTTTAAGCAACAGTGGTTGTGTGGCTCCTAGTAGTATCACGTTCTTTTCCTAACCAAAGTAGATAAAGAGAGAGATACGAAATTACAACCCATTGTTTAAAAGTTGAATGTTTCAACCATTAAGCCACCAGTTCATACCGATATAGTTGATATTTAGTGTTTATTATTGTTTTACTATAACTGAGTTTATTTATCCTTATTCATAGTTACAGTAAGCTATTCACAGTAGGTTACGTTTTAGTTCTTTTTTTGTCTAGTCGAAGAAACATTATACAGATAAATTAGGAAATTAAGAATTTAAAAGGTCTGTCAGCTAATGAAATGCCAATCATGTATTGTTGTTTAAAATAATAACGTGAACAACTATCTGGCTACATCAGTGACAAAAACGAAACAATATCAAACTTTTTCTTTTTCTTAAATAATGCATACTTTTATAAAATATTTAAGAATATGTCTGGTGATAAACTTCCTACTCAGCTTGAACTATTTGTATTTTTGGTCTTACAAGTCATTTAATTTACAACAAATCTCTCTCTATATATATAATTAGATAAACATTTTCATCGTAAGAACATTTATTAAATCGATCGACCTATCAGACCTACAGGAAGTAATCGATGAAGGCTAAGACTCAGAACTTATTCAACACAATATCCAAGTGTAAATTCTAGCGAATGAATTATTAGCGAAACAATGAATAACAAAGACAATGAATTTAGGCGATTGCATTAAAGATACAGAAAATAGGGCATTATTTACATTTAAGAAATACTCTAATCATGTTTCCTCTCTATGACTTAAGTTTTGCTACAAAATTTAACCTTGAATTTGAGAATAATATTGTCCGTATTCAGTGTCATTCTTCTGATATGGATTACATTAACCATGATTTTTTAATCTTGTTATCTGTTGTTCACTACCATCTATGCGTATGAGTATGTTCTGTAATAAGATTATTATATTTTTTGAAACCTAAAGGTCTGTACAGAGAGTTTTCTGTTTTATTGTAGCCTTTGGTATTACTTTTGACAGCTGTATTGTTACACTACACCACAAAACATTATTATCTGTCGTTCTACATCAGGAGTCACTATAGTATAGAGACTTGTCGTTATCCACAAATATGAAGTTAAAAATTACTGTGCAGCAGTTGATTTTCATACCTTAGTGAGTAGCCTTTCAAAACACTTGGTATTTACATCTTTGACTGTGCAATGGTGAGATATGATTTTTATATAATTTAAAGTACTGTTAGTTTCTACACGATTTCATGGTTATCACACGAATCAAGAACAAAAGCTTTTCGTGCACGTAACACCATAAACTTGAAATAAATAATTTAAATGCAAAGATATAGAAAGAAAACAACTGTCATCTATTTGTTGTCCCAAGCATAATTCAAATAGTTCCAAGAATCAGTGGGAACATATCATTGAAATAAATCCTATAAACGTTGGAATTGTTTAGTGTTTTCAGCATTTTTTTCAAAATCATTAATTTCGAAATAAAAAATGTCTTCTGATAGCATTTCATTCGTTTAAATGTTCTTCAACTCATCAATGCTTGCATAACCTTAACAATAAATTTCCAGCAAACAAATTATATCAGGAGTTTTGTGGAGATTGTAGTAATTTCAAGAGACGAGATCATGAGACTACCATGGGAAACCTGGAAGCACTGGACGGCCTTTTCGTCCTTTTCTGGGACCCCTCAGCAGTGCGCATCCACTACCTCGCCCTGAGGTATTCGAGCCCAGGACCTACCAGTCTCGTGCCAAGCGCCTAACCAACTAGACCACTGAACCGGCATCCGACGGTGTTAATGTTTAACTTCAACTAATCCACGAAATCGAACGACACATCCACCATTGTCATCAGTGAGTTACTACCTCACAACTGACTCGGCTGAACTCCACTGGTCACTGCTTCTCACTAGAACTCCAGGATAGATCTCTTGAAGCCAGTCACTAGTGACCATATGTTGATTAGTATCAGAAGGGGTTTTATGGAGATTATAAGTAGATATAAACTTAAGATTTCAAGACAATGGTGTTATACTCACAAAGATGATTTTTCTGGTGTTCTTACTTTAATGATTAATTGTTGTGTGT